GGCTTTGCTTCTGTGAAGACTGACAGCCTTGGAAACCCTGTGGGGCAGTTCCACTCTGTCCTCTAGGGGCGCTGTGAGATAGAATGGACTCCACAGCAGTGGGTGTGGTTTGGGCTTTGCTTCTATAAAGATCTACAGCCTTGGGAACCCTATGGGGAAGTTTTACTCTGTTCTATAGGGTCTCTAGGAGCTCTGGTAGCATAGTGCCTAAGGCACTTGACTGCTAACCAGAAGGCTGGAGGTTCAAACCCACCAGCCACTCCTCGGAAGGAAGGTTGGGCAATCCTACTTCCGTAGTGATACTGCCTCGGAAACCCAAGGAGGGGTCGCTATGAGTCGGGGCCGACTCGATGGCAAACACAGACCTTTTCAAATGGTGTTATTATTCATAAATTAATACTTACTGCTGTCAAGTCCATCCCGACTATGAGTCGGAATTGATTCAACGGCAGTGGGTTTGGTTTTTGTTTTATCAGTTGCTGAGGATGAGGAAAAATCCAAAACTCCACCTCATTCAGTAGTGAGAATATAATGTCATCAAGCACTTGAAAAAAATACCTTAATCTCATGGTCACTTTCCCACCCAAATCTGCAGGAAAAAAAAAAGGGGGAAGTATTCTTTGTATGTCCTCTTAGCTCATTAGCTATTTGAGTTTTAAAATAACCAGCCTTTCCCCACACCCACCTCTTTTATTCCTAGTAAGAGCAGTTCTAGGAAAACCAAAAGCCACAATGTCATTCAGTCAAAGCCTAGCTCACTTAAGCCATTTCACCACATTTAAAAAGAAAAAAAGGACACTTCTGGTAAATTCACTGAAGCTCTTAATATCTGTAAAGATGAAATAGTTATACAATAGTTCTGAGAGTTTTGAAATATATATCCACTTTTAGCAGACTCCAGGAAATGATACCATTTAAATCTCTCTATATTAAGTGAAATACAATAACCAGGAATTTTGTGAGTCACTTAAACACACATATACACACTGTAAGCTCGGGTGGTATGGTGCCTAAGAAGGTTGGTGGCTTAAATCCACCAGTCACTCCATGGAAGAAGGATAGGGCAATAGACTTCTGCAAATATCTACCACCTTGTAAACCTGGGGTCGCTATGAGTTGGACTCGTTTTTTTGGCAGTGAGTTGGTTTTTTTTTTTTACCCCTCATACACACTCTAGACTCAAAACTACACTAATGCTTTGGTTGTATCCCTACATAGATGTGCCCTTTAACCAGAGCCTAAAATTTAAACACCAAGAATTACTCTACATTGTGTAAAAGTAATGTGTGTCTATTCATCATTCAATCGATTTTGATGACTGGTCATCCATAGATTCTACTTTACAGATAGATATGTAGATATGTTACTATGAAACTCAAAATAAGGAAGATTTTAAAATTCTGTGCAATAAAACATCTCTTACTCATATGTTAAAACCCACTGCTATGGAGTCCATTCTGACACACAGCGCCCCTAGAGGACAGAGTGGAACTGCACCACAGGGTGTCCAAGACTGTCAATCTTCACAGAAGCAAAGCCCAAACCACACCCACTTCCCTGGAGTCGATTCTGACTCACAGCACCCCTAGAGGACAGAGTGGAACTGCCCACAGGGTTTCCAAGGCTGTCAATCTTCACAGAAGCAAAGCCCAAACCACAC